TATATGCAAACTACAAAAAACCTCTTGCATATCTTACAGATCTCATAAAATAGCACTAATGCTTCCTTGGATTTTCTCATTACAGCAGCAGAGAAATTTCCTGAGAATTTTTTCCTCCCTGTTTTTATGTGCGCTCCTGCCGTTTTAATGTGCACTATGCATCAGCTGTGTACGGTCAAGGAACAGTCAGTGGGCAAGCAGGCCGAAGCAGTGACTAAACGAACCAAAGTGAGGGAGAATTGATTACAAGTTTCCTATGTTTCTGTCTGGCCTGCTAGAGAATGATTCATGAAGTGAGGACAGAAATGGCCCTTTAAGACTAATTTAATGGTGCAGCTTCATTTCAATGACGGCATATTTCTGCTCTGAAAGCCACAAAGACAGGATTATACACACACACACACTCATTCTTTATTAACCCCTCTGTGAATTCCATTACAGAAATTGACTGCAGGTTCTGATAGGGCTGTGACGGTATGGGATTTTTCTTACCGCGGTGAAGACGCAACAAATCACCGCGGTTTGGCGGTTAATCGCAACCCCCCTCCCCCTCCCGCCGCGGAAATATAATGATTTAAGAACGCATGCAGCTTGTAAATGAACATGGAAATGAATAATAATAAAGCAGTCTTCTTTATTATTAAAACAGCAAATTATATTAACAATAATAAAATAAAATTACATTTATTTCAACTTTGTTTTTTCAATATCTTTTGAGTTTAATAGGAATTATGGAACCATTTTTAATCATTTAACAGCAAATTATCATTAATATTATTTAACTTAATAAGGCTACATTTATAACAACATTTTTAAAAGTGGAACATAAAAGTGTTTGAATCTGATTTGGGTTTTTCAAAGTGCAACATAAGGGAACATCAGGAACATCATTGTTAAACTACTGGGCCGCTTAAGTGAATCGGCAAGTCCTGCTGCTTTATTTTTCGGTCTTCAAGTTTCTTGCCAGGAAAACCAATATGTTCACTTTGTCTGGTTTCAGCGAAGATCTTAATGGAGTGACAATGTTGCCAGCCGCACTGAATACACGCACCGAGGGAGCGCTCGTAGCGCATATAGTCATATATTTTCTGGCAACTTTCGAAAGAAGAGGGAATCGAGCCTGATTATCCCGCCACCAGGCAAGCGGATCAGAGTTCTAAGTTGTTTCCACTGTTAGAAAAAAATGCAAGTGATCGCGCTGGCACCTCCATGTCCTGCAGAGCTTCAGCTTCCACTCTCCGCACGAAAGATTGGATATGAGTCTAACAGCGCACATTTATCTAGGTTAAACATTTAAACTAACATTGTGATATGCTTGACTGAACTATTTTAATAGCTGAAACAGTTGTATAAGCTGTTTTGGGAGAAGGGGAAAAAATACGGGCTAGGGCCTATATTTGAGGCCCATGCAGGGCTCTAATCCACTTCATCCAACGCTGTTTTGTTCCCTGTTGTTTGGGGGTCTGAATACTTTCCGTACCCACTGTATGCATTTTACCATTTTGCTTAGTTTAAAACGTGTGACACATTCGTTCTGCTCTCACTGTTAATTCGTGCAGAACACCACCCCCCCACAAAAAAAAAAACTCTGTGCATACCCTTGGAAGAAATCCTGCAGGCGCCCCTGAGTCGGAAGACAGTAAATTGACAAACAATGATTATTGTTTATACTTCATATCACAACACCATATGCACTTCTGTAACTTTCACTAGCAAAAAGAAAAAAAAAAGTGCGGCGATGACGGTGAAGACCTCAACACCGCAGTCGGCATCTAATTACCGCGGTTATGCGGTAATGCGGTTATCGTCACAGCCCTAGGTTCTGATGCTAAATTAGGAAACGTTCTTGAGACAGCAATCAATACCCAAGGACTCCCTCCATTTCCGTTCTAGACATGCACAAGGAGATGAGAAAGACAGCAAAACCATCCAATGAAAGATGGATTCAATAATAAAAACGACAAGATTGCAAAGATCCTAAAGATAATGAATTTCAGAGAAAGCTTTAGCAATAAAACTAATACGTCAGTTTTTGGCTATATTTAAATTGATTGCCACATCAGCTTCACTGGCTATTACATGGCAGATACATTCAACAATATCATAAATACAATATAATAAAAAACAAACATTTGATAAAATTAAACTTGAAAAAATAAACGTTTTGGCACATACTATTGTATAAAAGTTTCTTTAAAAGTACTTATGATAAAATTTTTACGTTTTTCTGTGTCTATCTTACAAAATAAGTCCTTAAAAGTTACCAGTATGTCGGTAACTTCCTGTCCCGGTATAAAGCAGCGTGCATTATTTGCTGTTTAGAATACAGAGTGATGTCTGAGATATGCATGCTGGTCTGTTTTCATGAAATATTCATCACGTGTCTCGGTTTACATTGTTTTGCTAGGCATTATATGCCTGAAGGATACAGAAGTGTGGGGCTGGGGGGCTGTCACTGCATATCCTGTATGATGAGAGAGAGAGAGAGAGAGAGAGAGAGAGAGAGAGAGAGACAGAGAAACAGCCTGACACAGAGTTCAGAGGGCACGGTTCAAAACTCTGCGTCATAATCTGCCACATCTGCCCTCTGCAGTGCGCAGACCTCTCCGACATCACACTGCTCATGTGCATGAGATAGCAGAGGCAAGACTGTAGAAATAACGGGATCTGAACGGAGAAGGAGGCAACTGAGTGTGAAAAAGCAGATAAGTAAAGTAAGAGATGGAAGAGCAGCGCTGCAGAAAGACAGCACGAGAAGAGACAGAAAAACAGGGTGGCTGAAGACTAATTTAAACAGCGCTGAAGAGCCCTCACAAGCTCTGGCTGATGCTGCATGTGCGACTGCAGGAGCGAGAAGTCCTTGGCATGTAACGAGCTGTTAATGACATAAGATGCTCTGTAATGATGTATTGAGTCCAGATCAAGCCTGTCAATGACATCAGCTGCTAGAGCTGGGCGGTATACGGAGTATTTATGAAAGTTTGGTGATTATTTCATTCACAGATTTAAGAAGATAGATTCAGTTACTCTGGTCAGTTCTTTCTGGTAGGTTTCAGTCAAAAACACATATTGAGCATTTAATTTGCATCATCACTCATGTGTTCATGGATTCATTTTTCTTTTTAAAACATAAAAAAAAAATGTTTTTTTAAGTCACCATGAACACTTATAAGTCATGACGCAAATTAATTGCTGAAAAAGTATAGTATACAACTGTTCAAAAGTTTGGGGTCAGTAAGGCTCTTAATTAATTAATTAATTTATTTATTTGAAAGGAATTAATCTTTATATTCAACAAGGATGTATTAGATTGATCAAAGACATTTATAATGTTACAAAGGATTTCTATTTCAAATAAATGCTGTTCTTTTCTGTTCAAACCCATCACACGTTCCACAACAATATTAATCTGCATATTAATCTGTTTTCAACCTTGATAATAATCATAAATGTGTCTTGAGTAGCAAATAAGCCTATTAAAATGATTTCTGAAGGATCGTGTGACACTGAATTACTGTATTTTTGATCAAATGCAGCCTTGATGAGCAGAATAGACTTCTTTGAAAAACAAACAAGCAAAAAACATTAAAATACATAACACTTCTTCAGCAGTTATAATTATTACAATTATATATTGTACATGTATTGATCTTCATGAAATAGCATATGAATGTAATCAACAATGTAATCAAACATTAATGTGAAAAAACATCTTTTAAAACAGCTTGGCAAAAATGGCTGTTTGGTCTCAAAAAATAACATTTTTTGATTCAAAGCAAAAACATAAATATTAAGACATATATTGACACTGTTTTTTAAGCTGTATTGACCAGGCAAAGTAGCTACTGGTTATTCTGCCACTCAAACACAGACAAACAAACCGTCACTGTCGATTATACTGGAAATCTTCTTATATAGGTACAGTAAGAGCAGACTTTTGAGTCTGCAAGCAAGTAA